CTTTTCTCAACTATTTATTTAATATTATTATGTTTACTTTTGTTGTTATGTTTCTGTTGGCCGCGAAGAAAAAGAATGAAGTGAATAAAAATGTTAAATTTGTTAAAAAGGAAGTTTTTGAGAAGAAAAAAGTTGAAGTTAGTAGCTCTGAGGATGAAATTTCTGTGAGGATCTTAGAGACTGACGACTCATGTGATGAAGTTTGAGAGTAAAATAATTGTGTGGGATGCAGTGAAAATTATTTTACTACTGTACTTCGAGCACAGAAGACTGGATTCAATGCGTTACCTGTCGATTCTGGGTGCGTGAAGATTGCACCTTTTTCGAAAATTACTGTCAGAAATGTGGTATTAATTCTAAAAAAAAATTAGTACGTACAGTAGTAATATTTGTGACCTATATTTGTAATGACTATTCTTTTTCTTAATACAAAAATGAGATTATCTTTGGTTTTCAATCATTGAAATGCCTTATACAGAACACTTAAGCTTTATACTTACCTGCATTTCCAGCATATAAAACATTTTTGTTAACTGATAAAGCTAATATTGTTATAAAGGGAAAGACTTGGATAAACTATCCTTTTTTTTTCATCTGGCAGAAGTTAAGATTTACAAAAACGTTAGGATTGTTTGTGTCCCAAGGTACAAACATTGGTGTCACGAGGTACACTCCATGATTGTATCTTAGGACAAATATCTGCAAGTAATTATTTGACATTTTCTCATAAATAAAATAGTATAGGGTCAAGTGTTGCACTATATATAGTGATGTTATTAATTACTAATAGAAATATTCAATAGTCATAGCTAAAGATCAATTAGAACTTAAATTATGAACGTTTAAAGAAAAGTATCCCAAAGTAGAAGGATCTTCCCTACTGTTTGCAGTAACTTATCATGCATCACTTTAAAAGTAGTCTTTAAAAAATATTACAATAATTATTAAAAAACTGTATCAAGCTTATGTGGTTGCAGGTGTTGTAAATATACAAAAATGTATTGCATGTTTCTTGCTTATTGATATCTACCTAATAATAAATGTACTAAAAATTTTATTAAAAATGCATCAAAGCTTTGAATAATGGTTACTGGTGGCAACATACAACATGGCTATTCTTTGAAGTTAACTCCTTATTTAGAGGTTAATTGTATGTGGTTTTCTTCAAAAAAAAATTTATCGTTCAATGAATAGAGATGTCCATTATTCATAGGTTTGATTGTATATCCTTGTAATATCGATGTAAAAATATATAATTTAAATTTTTCATATGTACTCCAATAAGCCAATTAAATAATTATATTACTGATAGATTTCTGAAGTTTTAAAACTCAACTAAAAAATAAAAAATTCAGCAACGAATTGCTTGAAACTGTGTGTGTAGTCCTATCTGTTATGATATTCTATTTATACACGTTCTATAATTTTAATTATTATACGATAGTAGTATAGATTAGATACACTTAGAGTATAAAATTTAATATGTATAAGAATTTGATGTAAGGTAATGATACGTTTTGAATTATAAAAAAATAAACGATGATACAATATAGATTACAAATTGCACCCCTTACTGTATTGTGGAGTAACTCGTGTAAACCCTGGGCATATTCTGTTCATGGTATGGATAAACGTGTGTTCTATTTTTAACTGAAGTATGTATATTTTTCTTTTTCATCAACAACATTAGACATATATTTTTGATCTGCAGATAATATACGATTGGCTGTTAGTTTCCATTGAGTAGTGTGGAATGGCATTATTTAATTTTGACACGAGACTACATTAATTTACATCTTTACAGATTCTAGTACTTTTTATTTTAGGGTCGAGTTGTAAGCTTTGTAACGTAACTGTATCTGTAAATTTTTACTACACTGAATATCTAGAGCGATAGTTATAAACTATTGTAAGGCCTTTTTTGTAACCATAAAGGAACAAACTTTTTTAAGGTTTACAAAGTCGTACACCATGACTATGTACAGAATCATCAGATGTTGTTGCCATATCTAATACTACAATTATTTATTCATTTATAATTTTTCTATTTTTTATCACCAAAGTAACTCTTATGTTGATTTTATATTATTCAAAAGCAGCATTGTTGGTCAAAAGTTATATTTCAACCAATTTGTCAAAGTTTTGTCAGTTTCTTACGACACAACTTCTACTTGTACATCAACTGATTGTGACTTAGTGCAAGCACAGTTAGTCAATTTTCCATATTCCTACTGTAAAAGTTTGATTGATCCAAACTGTTCTTATGGAATACGATACGGCCATATAGATATGACACAGAGTTTATAACCACGCTATACGTATATGCTTTCTGCTATGGATATAGTATGGATACGGTTACTTTACGGAGTTTACAACTTGACTGTTAATTCCAATATAATGTTACAGATTTTCTTCATTGAACTTATTTAATTTTTCAATCATATCATCGACAATGTTACTAATATCGTGAAATATAGACTAGACAACTATGTGAATTATCAGCAATATATTTTTCATTGAGGTTTTGATATTTTAGAACGTAACACCAGAAAAGTTTATTTTTAAAATTGTGAATAAAATCCTCAATCAGTATTTCATAACGAGAAACTAACTCCCAGTGGAGATAATTTTTTAATTCTCGTAGAGTACCATTTTTTTATCATTGGCATTTCAAAACTATTCTCATATTTAATTTATGAATATATTTCTTAACGAAATTATCAAACAGAAGTTGAAATTTTTTATTAATATTTTGTGTTTACTATTAGTATTTTATATATGATATTAATTTTATTATTTTAGATAAACTTGCGGATATAATCGATTGCAAAGGTTTTAGATTAGAAAACGGACGTTGCTAACGACTCTATAACAAATTTTTAACAATACAGTGCTGATATGTAGGATTAAATTCAGTGGATTTTGGAGTTGTGAATTTTGTTCATCTAAATGTACTGCAGAACAAATTAACTCCATCTGATAAAAAAAACTATTGGATTTTGCAACTGGTTGCATAACTTATATTTAGCCCATTACGATAAGAATGATGTTAATTAATGGATCAATCATAATAACATCGTATTCACTATTAAAAATTTGTTAAAAAATACGGGTATATTTTTTACAAAAGGAAGAAACAGAAAAACTTTTAATTAATTAGTATTGCCTCAGATGTGTGTAAAATTAAATTCCAATCACTGGATGTGGAATAATTTGGCATTCCTATATCTTCGGATACTAAGACAGCCTGCCCAAATCACATGGAATTCTTTCAACATTGCCCATTATGCGATGTTTATTCATACAAGCATTTTATGAGAGCAGATAAAAATATATTATTTTGTTTTAAATATTATCGCGTGTTGGTACTATATTATTAAATATTATTATACTGTATATAATTATTGGATATATTCTGAAAACCCAATGATCATCAAAGACAAAATGTATAAACATAAATCAATAAAAGTGATAAAATTTACGCTAAAATGAATTTAAAGTGTCGAATTTTAATTTATTGTTTAGTAAAAAGTTTATATTGCTTAGTTGCGAACAAACTAATAATTTATAAAAATCGAATCAACAAGATTTATTAAGAATACTCCTTTACAGCATAATGTGTGTTGATGGAAATTATTTTGAAAGTTGTATCGTAATAAGCATATTAGCGAAATAAAGTATAAATTTTGCCATAATGGCAAAATTTGTACTTCATTTCGTTAATATGCTTATTATACAGTCAAAAGCCATAGAAGGTGGGGTTTTACTTTTTCGTTTTATCACATAATAAAGTGCAAATGGCATAATCCTAAAGTGACGTGCTAATCGTGTCATACGATTCGAAAGTGTGATGGCACTTCGAAACGAAGTTTATTATAATTATGAACCTAGGTATGTTTTCATAATGGGATGAATTGCATATTTGGAAAACAACGTACATCCTAAAGCNTGCAAACTGTCCTTCGAAATATTTTTTTGATTTTCGGTTCGCTCGCTGTTAATCTTCACAAAGTAACGGTATTCATTAATAATCGATGAATACGGTTCGTGAATGATCAATTTCTAAACTATTATTATATTTTTGAAAACAATTAACTTGAAAATGAATACTGAGATGTCAAGGAAGTAAATATGCAATTAAATTTCATATTGTACTTTCAGTTAACGAACAACTAACGATTATAATAATTACTACATTAGCTGTCTGACAAGGATCACTTCCATTAGGCAGCCATTAATAACTCATTCAGATAAGTAAAAATTATTTTGAATATCCTTATCAAACAGCAAAATCTGTGGTGAGAAGTATAAAATAATTAAAATTACATACACCTTTCTTTCAAGTTTACTCATTTATTATTGTTTTCTATTACACATTATTTATGTATTTCGTATGTCTTGGGTTTCTCGTGACAAATTAAATTTAATAACTGTTATTTAAATTTTTATATAATTACAAGTAATTGTTTATGGTATATTCTTTCGTTAATTAAATTAATTATAATTTTATGTATTAAAGTTTCAAAATGACAGCAAAATTCATTATATACATATCTTTATACAAAAATTATCGGTATACCTCACACTCTCAAATAGAGATTGAACTCCAAAATTTATAAAAAATGGCTGACAGTAATTTAAAAATGAAAGTGCTAACTAACAATATTAAAGCTACAGATTGTAAAGTCAGTGGGTTAAAATTTAAAAAAATAGTTAGATCTATAGTACCTTGCCACTGTTGTCTGTCTGGGCGGTGTCTGTCCTCCGTTAGTCTTGAAAACCAACAAAAAGGATGGAAGACAAGGAAAACGAAAGAGGAAGAAAGCCCAGATTAACTATATAATAACTTTTAATGCGAACCAACAGTTACCTCATTTCAATTCAAGTATTTCCTTTGAAAGGGGCTAGATAGATGACCGGGACGTTTCTATTACTAAAAAAGTGTGATGTACGAAAGCAAAAAACTACTAATTTGCGATGGATAGCGTATATTTTACGGTAAATAAATGAGATATATTATATAAAATTGCATCCTAATATTGTGACAGTGCCAGAATAAAATAATTGCTTGTTTGTTTTGCATTCTTCGTTACAATTTTACAAGAGATTAAACTGTTTCTGAAGAAGGTTCGTTTCCAAATTATCCAAGAGCTAAACATTGAAAACGGTTATCGAAGACAGTTTACTAAGAATGAATTAACAAAATAGTTTGAATAAAAATAATTTAAAAAATGTTCGTTTTATTTTAAAGTTTGACGAAAACAAAAACAATCTGTACACGTGCTTCAAGTGAATTTTCATTCATCAGTAGCGTCGCGATTTATTACAGAACTCTTTAGAGATAGCAAAACTATTCTCATTTGGAACCATGTGCCAAATATTAAAATATTTTATACGATGATATTCGATGATAACGTTTACATCAGTATTAAATGTAGGGAAATTTACAGTTTTCTCGGTTTAAATTCGAGTTGGAGAGATCGACTAGGATTTAGACTAATTCTGAACTTGAGTGGGGTCGTTTTTTTCACGTATCCTATTTTCATCTTTCTTAAGATAGTTGCCAGAATCAGTTTAATATTAATCATGGCCGAGCGATTCCCTGTAAGAAATAATCGTATGTGTTAATCAAACTACAGACCTGTTAAATTTTTTATTTATCTTTTATTATGCTAAAGTTCCTCACCCAAACACATCCTCGGTCCTGCCGAAAATGGGATGTAAGAATAAGGTGGGCGTTTGGAAAAATTCTCGGGAAAAAATCTGTCAGGATCGAAAATATTTGGATTTTCGAAGACATTTGGATTTCGATGAAGATTGAAAACAGAAACAACGAATATCCAGTCTTTCGAAAATTCTTTATCTCCTGAAAGAATAAAAATTGAAATAATTATAGTTGTTATAGTGAAATCATGTAATGCTACGTTATAAGTTTTTACTTTTGATCTGAAAATAAATCTATTGTTTTCTAGGTCCTGAATTTTGCGAAACTTTTATTCACGAATGCCAATGCCTTATTATTAGTTTATTTTCGATATTCGATTATAGCATAGAAGAATAGTCGGTTAATCTATAATGTGTGGTTAAAATATATTTTTAGAAGTGCGAACGCCGAACTTCCACATCTTGATGTTCTCCCTGTAGAGTTTATGCCTACTTTGCTGTGTTTTAATTTCTGGCCGTGACAAAAGTAACGTGGACTTGACAAAGGTAATGTATATACTCGTATATTGTTATTTCCGTATGTCTTGCGTTTTATTAATTTCAAAATTTTATATAAAGTTTCAAATTTGAAGAATACCCAAAAACAAAATTTAAACGCATTCAACAATTCGAAACAAATAAAACAGATAATAGAAAAAAACAGACACATAAACACTACTCGAATATTCCAAAAATAATCAGGCAACAAGAAGAAATAGAGAGTGTGTAAACGACTTTTGTCCTCAATAAACGAACTTACTCGCCCGTATGATATTTCGCGTATTTTTATATTTATTCAATTACTAATATTTATTATTAAAACACTGTGAATTAATTATATATTCGCTGTTACTCGCGGCTTTGCCCGCGCGGATTTTGCGAGCAAAATCCATTTATATTCAGTTAAAACCCATTTATATTTAGTATTTCAATAACCATAGTAATTGTTATATAACACCTACTGCTGAAAATGATGAGAATTGCTGAGAATCAAACGAACTATTTTTAATTTGATCAATTTTCTGGAACGTTTACAATCGTTCTATAATCGAACCAATATGCAATAACAAATTCGAATTTAAAATGGTTCGAACATTTTAAAAATCGAAATAGATAAAAATATTTATAACAATGTCTGAAATGTTATTAATTTAATACACCTACGTACTCGATGAAGACTAAATTCTCTCCCTCTCCCGCCCTCGGGGAAATTTCAAAAAATCCCTTATCAGTGTGCATTGCCACGGCATACCCTACTAAAACGCAAATAAAAACAAAAAATCGCATCTAAAATACTGCAGTAGAAGCGGTTCTTCCGGTTAACACTTAATGCTCTCCCTCCCCCCCTTTCGGAGGAATTTCGAAAAATCCCTTCTTAGTGTGTGTTTCTATGACGTACTCTAACTGTCTACCAAATTTCACCTCTTTAGGTTCAGCGGTCTGCTCTGGGCGATGATGAATCAGTGAGTGAATGAGTGAGTCAGTCAGTCAGGACAAGCAATTTTATATACAGTAGAGCGTCGATTTTCCGAAATTCAATCATCCGAAACGTCAATCATCCGAAAGAATTCCAGTCGGCAAATTTAAATTTTCGCAAGTGCTGTGGCGTTGCAATCTTTGGCTATGTCTTTTTTCGTACGTAAATCAGTTATCCGAAATATCAGTTATCCGGACAACCCGAGTCCCCAATTGATCCGGAAAATCGACGCTCTACTGTGTTTAGATATATTGTTTCTCACTCATGTGTTCGTGAGTTCAGAAGTTTTGGTATGGGGAAGAATTTGAATAAAAAAATACGCATATAATTAAAAATATTTTCCCTTACCGAATCTTATAGATTTTTTGATTTTCCTAGAAAACGCAGGAACTGGTGGATAAAGCCTCATAGTCTCCTACAAAAGCATAATATAAATAAATTTATATCAGTATATTATAATACACATTTATTGTATTTATCACTTATAGAAAACTATATTCTTCCTTAATTAAAGAAACTTGATTTTATATGCTGATTATAAAGGCATATGTAATATGTGAGATTCTGCAACATTCGCCAATATATAAAAATTAATTTACGTGTAAAAGTATGAAAACTGCAAATGCATTATAAATCTTATGATAATTACCCATATATCATATAAAAGTAGTCATAAATATTTCTAAAAATTGTCAACCTTTATCACACATTCCAAATACTTCATTTCGTGTAAATCTTCATTTGTAATAAATCGTTCGATGTCATTTTTAAAAATGGCGTCCAACTCTTCCTGAACTTTTCTTTGAATGTCTTCGTGTTGACTTAATAAGTATAATGACCAGCAGATGGTTATTGCAGATGTTTCGTATGCCTAATATTAAAAAATAACAATATCAATACATTCTTTGAATTCTTACATGTAATACAAATTAATGTGTACAGATTAATAATTGCTTATTTATCGTGCTAATGACTACATGGATAACATATTCGTACATGGAAATACTGTAGTAAAGTATTTACACAAAGTATGTTATTTCTATTTGTTTTCATTATATTTATATATGTGGTCTAATTGTGGATATAAAAGAAAAATTCGAAGAGACGATTCTTTGCATAATTTCAACAATAAAAATTTTGTAAACAGGTGTTAAAATCGCATAATTTTAAAAGTATAAAACAATTAATAAGGTGGTTCACTCATAATGCAATGAACCATTACATTATACTGTAGATACGGAATCGTATTGTGACATCCTGTAAAATAAGTCGACACACCACCTTTATTTCTTAGCCCATGTGCTAATAAATGCAGCAAAGACAGAGTTCCGTTTGACAGTTGACGGTAGTAATTTTCAAGTTATTCCAACACTGTTATTCTAAACACGTTTGTTTGCATAATTATGGCTAAAATTATTTCGAAAGATGACTTTTTTAATTTTGGTATATATTCAGAATGACCCTAGTATAAGCACGGTAAAAATAATATCTATTCGGTTTAATGACTCATCAGTATGTTATCTATTATGATGAGTTAAATATAATTGTTGTACACATTGTAGAAAAATTAGAGAATAAAGTTGACTGAGGAGCATACTTTTCACATTTGAATCTTTGGAACAACACAAGTTGTCCCAAATTTAAATACAGTAGAGCGTCGATTATCCGAAAGTCAATCATCCGAAAGAATTCCAGTCGGCAAATTTAAATTTTTGCCAGTGCTGTGGCACTGCAATCTTGGCTATGTCTTGGGCTACTCAAATATTTTACGTTATTGATACTAAATTAACTTCTGAAGTAAATTTTTTATTGTTTTTATATTTTTCAATATACTGTAAGGTCTCGTTTTATGTGGTGGATATGTTCTACAGAAAAGCGCATACAAAAAAATTCGCATAAAAAAAGACTTTACTTGCCTTGAAAAAGTAGGGATACGTTCAGTAATTTTCTAAAATCGCATAAAACCAAAACAACGAGTTAAAATTAACTTAAAACCGCATAAAAAGTTTGCAGAAATTAAAAAAATAGGCTGCTTAATAAATTACTTCGAATGTCTGAAAGAAATTCATATAAAAGCTTAAAATAAACTTTTATTCAAACTTAATTCAGTTTAATTTATTGAAAAGTAATACAAGGGGAATCCCCGAATTGCAAAAGCTCACTCTAAAAACAAATCACTGACATCTGGATGTGAAGAGTTAATTAAAATTTAACCCTTTAGTTCCTTGCCCGCGTTAACTCGGGCAAGGTACATAGCGTTACATAAAACATGGTCTTTAATTGAAATGTTTTTTTTTGAATTTTTGGAATGTTTTTTTAAGTCTCCAAATTTTAAAAAGAAAATTTAAAGTATACGGCCAGCTAGCGTTCGCCCTACTTTAAACCCTTGTCCTCCCGCGACGTCTATGAGAATGCCCCGGGAAATCTAACTCCAGCTGTGTTCAAGGTCATTCAGATGTGTAAACAATGACTCATCGGTGTTAAATTTCACAGAAGGGGGAGACAAAGGAAGTTAAACTTTGAAGCTTTTTCTTCAAAAATAACGCATTTCTTTCGTTTTTTCAGTTTTAAATATTTTTTATGTTTAATTACATTTATATTAAAAATTGCTAGGAACTAAAGCGATTAAGGTAGATCTAGTTGTCCTTTACATCCATAAACGCTATATGTCAGTGGAACAAATGGAGTGAGCTTTGAGCGTTTCACGATTTTTGGAGACTGTCTATACGCGGGCTTACTAAACAAGCCTATATGTATGTTTGTCCAAGAAATTTATGGATGAAATACAAACCGCACAACTTCAAAATCGCATAAAAATAATCAGCATAAAAAGAGACCTTACACTATTCATTTTGTTCATACAAAATAAAAAATAATTTTTAACGATAAAATAGTCTTCGTTAGGCTTAACATCGACGAAAATTCAACGCGAAGCGACATGCAACGGAGAAGAATGTCAAGATGGGATAAATTAATATATTTTATCGTACATACTCGGTTATCCGAAACATCGATCTTACAAACAACCCTAGTCCCCAATTGATTCGGATAATCGACGGTCTACTGTATATCAAAGATAAATTTGTTAAATTAAGAAGGCTTTTAGGATAAATGAAACTTGTTTATCTACTTTTAAATTTTTAAATATTTGAAAAAAAATTTTCAGTTGTAATAAAATACCAAATTTGATACTATATTTTAAAATATAATATAATATTATTTGTAGTTTAAAATTTCTTATTTATTTATGAATAACTAATAAAAAATGGCCTCCATTAATTTCCACATTTTCAGCAAAAAAATGACGTTAGAAATTTAATCAGAAGTATTCGTTTAATTAAATGTGTGTTCTGTAACTGTCTTTGTTAAGATTTCACACTCATTTTTTATGAAATCTATAGACATATTTTTCCTAGAAATTAATTTCTTTTATATCCCATCAATAAACGGAATCTATATTAAAATGAACCGGTACTTTAACAACTATTTATGAATTATACCCGGCATTTTGACTATTTCGCTATTATGCTCAGAATGTGAAAATGTTATATACTAAGAAGAAATCTGCTAAGTTGTATCTATTAACGCATAATTTAATTAAGAGTAGAATATTCATTAATCTACGAATAAATATCGTAACAGATAGTTATATTCGTGGGTTCAAAAAGTCAAATAAAGAAATATATACCACTTACAGCACCAAGAAAAAATTCGATCTCTTGGCAGATGCTATCAATGGTCATTTCTGGATTTTTATCTCTAGCATCCAAGAGAAAGTCCAACAGAGATTTTCGATTTCCATTAATTTCGGTCGTGTTTTCTTCGTCTTCACGTCGTCGAATTTTTTCAGCAATTATCTAGAAACAGAACTGAAGTTTAAAAAAATATTTGAGTGTAATTTTTGTTGGAAAAGGAGAATTTTTACAAACCTGTTTTGTAAATTTCCTTAAAGTTTCCTTGTTTGATTTAAACTCTTTCCCTTTTAATGTCAAATAAAACAAGAAGTCGAACGACATCAGAAAATTAATTGATCTATCAAGTACTGGCTTAAATGTTCTAAAAAATAAATATCATAATTCATGAAATGTCGCATTTCAAATGCGAAATTCTAATATGAAATGTTTAAATATTTTAAAATTGCAATAATATAATATATACATTTATTGAACTGCAATTCTCAAACATTGTTAATCTGGGGAATAATGTTGGACAGATAAATATAGAGACTAAGTTTGCAAAGGATATGGGCAGGATGTCTGGATTAACTATATAAAAATGTCTAGTCTGCTACGGAAGTCCCTTCGTTCAATTCACATATTTCCCCCGGAAACTGGAGTTACAGAAATGATTGGTATGATTTTATTCGACAGAAAAAGGGTGATGAAAAAGCTCAACACACTACCAAAATAAAGACCACTGTGACGAAACACTGCAGCCCGGCACTGTGATGATTTCACAATAAATAGGTGCTCGTTATTCGTTATATGTAAATCAAATAATAAATTAATATCTATTTCTAGCATAATACGTTTTCATATATGCTGCAATAATAAAAATATTTAGTGTAACTTTGGTGTTTATTTACTGTTAATTATTTTAAACAACAAATGCAACTTTTCCTATAATTTTATGAAGATTTTATAGTTATAATGATGATTTTAGAAAAAGGTCGAATCCAAATAATAAAACGATTTAAAATCGTAGCTTGCTTACAATGTGCAAAAATCTCTCAATATGCAAACCATTCTGAACATTATATCGAGTGTTCCTAAAATAAATTACTGATTTAAAAAAAATTCTATGTCCATGATACAAGTCTTATCAGATGCATTAAATGTATGAAAGAGAAATAGTGTTTATTTACGAATTAAAACCCATTTTCTTCTTTCGTATACAACACCATACACCTTTCAGAGCAAGCTTGGCCCACCAGTGGCAAAGTGGTTTCATTCCCTAAACACTGAAAATTCGTCCTTGTGTTTACCCACGCCAGGACAGGCTGGCCACGTGGAGTTTCCCGGGTTTTTATCCATATCTGTAATTCTTGAAGAGAGACCAGTTAACTTTAAAAACTCTTCCAGAAAAGCATCCACAGGCGGATTGCCCAAGCGTTACGTAACAAAACAAACCAGACCGAGTTCTTATCACTGGTCAAGAGACAAAAACAATCGAACGCTAATAGTTAGCCCAGGGTTGCCGTTTCGCAAAGATAATTGACGAGTGGAGTTTTCTTGGTTTTTATTGCGTTTGTAACATTTATAAGCAGTTTCCCGTGTCTTGGTAAGAAGTGCCCTTCGGCAGATCGCTTATTTTTTACGTTGCTGTATACAAAAATGAGACTAATCGAATCATTGTGTTACGCTGCAGTGGCGATTCCGAATAATATACGACAGGCCATTTTGTGTATGTATTACTGATTAGGGTGAATTGAAACATGAATACAGTTTAATGTTCCTAGCATTGTATTTTCTTTCTATAACTCGAAGTTGTAAAAACAAAATGCAGAAAACAAATCGAAAAGAACAATGTTCAAACCTGGTTCGTAGATCTGTAAAATAGCATTGCTTTTAGTACAAGTCAGTTATTTAACACAAATGCTACTTAGAAATTCAGTGTTTAAAAATCAATTTTCAGTGAGTACCGTAAGAAACTAAATACAAATTCATTGATCATTAAGTGGACAAAGATTTGATGAGAGATAAGTAAAAATTTCCTGAATCAAATGGTGTATTTGCAGAGGAGAAAGACACGAAGAATTGCATATCAATGTGTTTAATAATGCATTCAAGTTAACCGAGTCTTCTTGGTTCCTTAGAAAAGCACAAGATTTGTGAAAGTGGCTTTCTCAGAGGCTGACCAAAATAATTGTAAGGCATTTTACACAGTCCTGAAAAGTGATTGGATGAAACAGGCAATTTTAGGATATTTAGGATATTGCGAACATCCTAAATGTGTCGTTAGTCTTGCTAAATATGAAGAGCGTAATGCAATAATGAAAAATAGTAAAAAACTATTTTCTAGAACTTANACTCGAGACTACCAATTATGTGAGTCATAGTAACACGAGTGAGTTCGATGACGTCAGTTCGAGTACAACACGAAAAACTCGAGACTAAGGGCCCAGGACTGGCTGGCCATTTGGAGATTTCTGGGTTTTCATCCATATCTGTAATTCTTGAAGAGAGACCAGTTAACCTTAAAAACTCTTACAGAAAGGCATCCACAGGCGGATTGCTCAAGCGTTACGTAACAAAACAAACCAGACCGAGTGCTTATTACTGGTTAGGAGACTAAAACAATCGAACGCTAATAGTTAGCCCAGGGTTGCCGTTTCTCAAAGATAATTGAGGCGTGGAGTTTTCTTGGTTTTTATTGCGTTTGTAACATTTATAAGCAGTTTCCCGTGTCTTGGTAAGAAGTGCCCTTCGGCAGATCGTTTGATTTTTACGTTGCTGTATACAAAAATGAGACTAATCGAATCATTGTGTTACGCTGTTTGGTATGATGACCTGCAGTGGCGATTCCGAATAACAAACGACAGGCCATTTTGTGTATGTATTACTGATTACGATGAATTAAAACATGAATACATTTTTACGTTCCTAGCATTGTATTTTCTTTCTATAACTCGAAGTTGTAAAAACAAAATGCAGAAAACAAATCGAAAAGAACAATGTTCAAACCTGGTTCGTAGATCTGTAAAATAGCATTGCTTTTAGTACAAGTCAGTTATTTAACACAAATGCTACTTAGAAATTCAGTGTTTAAAAATCAATTTTCAGTGAGTACCGTAAGAAACTTAATTCAAATTCACCGATCAATAAGTGGATAAAGATTTGATGAGAGAAAAGTAAAAATTTCCTGAATCAAATGGTGTACTTGCAGAGGAGAAAGACACGAAGAATTGCATATCAATGTGTTTAATAATGCATTCAAGTTAACCGAGTCTTCTTGGTTCCTTAGAAAAGCACGAGATTTGTGAAAGTGGCTTTCTCGGAGGCTGACCAAAATAATTATAAGAGCATTTTACACAGTCCTGAAAAGTGATTGGATGAAACAGGCAATTTTAGGATATTTAGGATATTGCGAACATCCTAAATGTGTCGTTAGTCTTGCTAAATATGAAGAGCATAATGCAATAATTAAAAATAGTAAAAAAAACTATTTTCTAGAACTTTCAAGCATACAGAGTCTGAGTAAAACAAGCAGAAATGAACTAAGTCTATAATGTTTCTGTGCAAATTTAATAAAAATACTTCTTTCTCGATCAGTTTGAGGGTTGTGATTCATTTTGAAACGAATTTCAATTTACTCTGCTTTGAAAAAGTCATCGTTCGAATAGACAGGTGAAAGTATTCATATTACAAGCAGATAAGCCCGGAGTTGCTCGCGCAAAAAGTAAAGATTGCGAAGATTAAGATTATTACATTATAGCCAATCTTACCCGTTTTCACAGAATGCAAGAATTATGCCCCCTGTTTCTACACTAATTAGAGAATTTTTAGATGTGTCTAAAAGTATGTTCAATTTCTCGCAAAAAGCGAAAAACCTCATATGCGCCTGTAAATCTTGCATGCCGCTTTCCCTTAACACTTTCGTTGTTATGGAATACAATTCTTTCATCCCCACGTGGTACCCTACTAAAACGCACTTAAAAACAAAATACCGCATCTAAAATAGTACAGTAGAAGCCGAGTTTTCCAGGCAAAGCTTTAATCCTCTCCTTTTCTTCCGTTGGAGGGGAATTTGCTAAAAATCCCTTCTTAGTGTACGTTTTGGAGTCGTACCATAACTGTATACCAAATTTTAACTTTCAACTCCTAACTACTTGGGCTCTGCGCTTATTATTATTATTATTATTATTAACCCATCTCGATTATATACATATATTCAGATTTTTCTTATGCATATCTATGTTGATGACAGTGTATAGTTTAGCTGCCATAAGTACAAAAGAAAAGAAGGAACCTCTTATTGGACTTATGTAAAAAAACCTTAATAACCAATTTAATGAATTGATTGCATTATTATTTTCAGGCAATATTATTTGCCTGAAAATTAAAAAATTACATAGAGTGACTTCGTGTACGTACTTGAAATACAATTGCTTACTAAAATTATGTATCAAAAAGTATAAATAAAATAGCAAGAATTTAAGTGAAGTCACTTTATGTAATAAAATATGTTTTATAGAAGTGAAAGCAAAAAATTTACGGATCAAAGATAGCCTATTCCAGATGCTTGTAGTTTCTCTCGGTGTTAATATCGTTTGTACAGAAAAAAACACATCTGGAATGAAATTACTTACGCGGTTATTAATTTTTCATAGTAAAAACTTCTTTCTCTATAAGTAGAATCATCTTTAACACCAAGAATATTATCTGAAATAAATTTTGCATATTAATAAACGTTATAAAGGATATTAAACTATTAATATTATTCAGCAAATTTTAAAATTTTTAATGTAATTTATGTTTATTTCTCTAATAATTATAAAATTTCACAGCTCCTATAAATTTTAATGTCAATAAATTATATTAACAATACGTCATAAATCTTTACTTATAAAATATTGTATAAGTCAATCAGATAGACAATAAAATACATTTTGCATACCATACAAAATGTTAAATCCGCACAGTTTGACAACACGTACTACGAAAACTTTCTCGTTTTCTATCAGCACGTCAACTAATTTTCTAGCATTCTTCTCGATTATTGGAATAAATGAATGCAATGTTGTTAGGCGAAAGGCGGGCAACAATAATTTCTTCCTTTCTCTATGAGCTTCGTCACTTCTGAAAAATATTTTTTGGATATTATTCAACCTTTTGTGAGTTGCTTACACACGATCTTCATTCTAATTGTGAATTTACATATAAAGCTAAAGTGAATTAATGACAAATGAAATAAATATAAATCAAGAAACACTCCTAATTAATAAAATGAAATGCTAGATGTTGGTGTTAAGATCGATACACCCAAGCATTTTCTAAATATTTAAGACCCTTCACCAACAAAATAATCTTAAAAAATCCGTGCTTTACTTCCCATAATTAATTAAATTTTTTAATGAAAGTTATTAAAAAACTATAAAAAAGTTTAAAATGATCGATAAAATTCTTCTTTTGGTAGAAAAACACTCCCTGCAGTTATATTTATCATTTTTGAAGGCACGAAATTTCACATGTGCAGTCTACATTGTTTACAATGTGGGTGACCTTGAAAACAGCTGATAGCAGTTTTTCCGGATTGTTTACATGTACGCCTAAGAGTATTTTATAGGAGCTGGTTTAAAGCAGGCAGGGATCTAGTTTACCACTTCTATTTAAATATAACACAAAATTTCCTATTTTGTTGTCAGTGAAATACGGGGGGCCGTAAAAAAGGTATAAAAAAAATTCTTCTGAATAAAAAAAAAACCTGCCAATGTCATAGAAAAGAATAGCGTTAATGTCAAATAGGTCATATAGAAGTTTAGAACGATTTAATTAATTTTATAAAAAATCACACATAAAACACATTAGCGCAATTAATTAGCTAATTGATAAAACGTTATAACATAATTTTCACGAAAAAAATAATTCGAAAAATCGGCATAGATCCTAGATAACAATGTATAAGTACTGGTCCATTTACTTTTGAAAAAGTTATATAATTATAGGGAAGAAATAAAAAAGTACTAGTTGTCCTACTACTACTAATTAAAGGTGGTATTACGGAACTACTGCTATTCAGATTCATATTAGAGGCAAAGTCTAGCAATTTGTGGCTGAATTGCACTAAGCAGACATTCATAGCAAGCGGAGTACACCTCCCACTTCAGTTATGCAGTTGCACACAGTAAAACAGGACGTTTCTGCTTTTCACAATTCTAAACTTTTGAATGGTAAGTGAATTTAATAATTTATAAAATATAAATCATGTAGTTGTAGGTTCATTGGTGCATGTGTCCCGTTTTAGAGACCTAGAAATGCTGTTAGTTTGTTTAATGTTCTCGTTTTTAAAGTTGGTGTCGGCAGAAATTAATTTAACCCGACATGGCGATGCATGAAATATGGACTCCATTGGTGCTTTTAATATGGAACCCAACACTTCTGGGTTTTCGGGTTACTCAAAAATTCAAACCGTGGAAGAAGTTTTGTAAAAGTATGTGGTGGATCAAAGAAAAAATTAGAAATACATATGCAAAACTACAAATAAGTACATCTAGCTAAATTCTGAAGTTATTTTGGTTTAAAAACTGTTCTAAATAGATGAGTGTTCTTTTAAACTAAATTTTTTAAATTGACTTTTTTCATTTTCAGATGCCTAGAACCCAGTTGAAGCGAAAAAATCCCAAAGAGACAAACATGGAGTCAGGAAAAAATCACAGAGACAGTGAGTATGGTAAGGGCTTGTTTATTACCATACTCACTGGGGCTGAATAAAGCTGCAAAATTTTATGAGGTGCCAAAAACTACTTTGCGAACTCCTTTTGTGAGCAGACATTTGTCAGGAGCAATTTGTAAAAAGACACTAGGTAGAGAGCCAATTCTTCCTGAAAATATCGAAAGAGCTGCTGGAATATATGTTGATGGAGGTCATATTTTTCTATTATTAAAGCAATTTTTCCATAAAACACATTGGAGTAAATGATTTTGTATTTAATTAACTTTTTTTCACTTTTTTATTCGTTTTTGAATGCATTAAAGCATATTTTTGAAAACATACAAAAGGGCTCCAAATTACCACTCAGCTTCCCGAAAACTACTTTTAACTCTTTTACAGAAGCCTTCAAATACAATAATTACAGTTATGCTAGCGAAAATTAGGAACATTTAGTTTAACAGCTACCTTTCGCACAAAAATATGTGGGCCTTGTTACAATACCTTGTTTACAATTCACTATATAATAGAAATGGGGTTTCATAATATCACCTTTTCCTATATGTTCTTGTAAATATTGCATTTATAAAAAAATTATTGAGCCGCAATTTGAAAAATTTTAAATCTATGAATTCTAAGTGTTGTCCCCTTAGATAGATGAAAGTTGAGACTACATTTGCAAAGCTCAAGTGAAAAAGGCCATATTAACTATATACTAACTCCCGGTTTCGAACGGAAGTATCGTTATTCGATTCCCTGGTCAGAGTTAGATAGATAACTGACACGACACATAAGAAAAATAAATAGCTATGACTTTTTAAATATAATAAAAATGTTTAAGTGGTTTTAAAATTTATTATGAAAGTATTAGTTGTAAATAACAGGAAGGGAATGGTCGAAGTAAAATGTTTAGATACTTTCGAAACTTTTACGATTATTTATTATAATGTTATACTTTTTATAAAATAGAAAACATTACTTAAAAGAATGCAAATTAAATTTTTATTAATGATTACCTCATAAAAATAGAATCGCCAAGCCAATCTTTAAATCCATTATACAGAAAGGATTTGTTAATGCATTGAGAATCACTTAACAGTGTCTAAAAATAAATAAATAAATGTCAATTTTGATTAGTAAATAATAAAATTAAATCACTTATAAGTCAAACTAATCTCACTCCTAAAAAGAATCATATTTAATAATTGAAAGATCATTTGCAAATACTTAAAATTAATAATTAAATTGTTTTATACAAAAAAATATTTGTTATATATAACTGTTTTTGTTATATATAACTTTGACATATATAATGTTATATGTCAACAAAAATTGTTAGGAAGTTCTGCCTTATGTTGTTGTTTCACTGTGACATAACATTTATATCTATCACATGACATCACTTGCCGATTCGAAATATTTTTCTAGGAACTTACTTGAATATGATCCGGACGATACAAGAACAATGATTTCACAATTAAAAAATTTAAGGGAAAATATCCTTTGTTGTACGTATGATTCAACATTTCTGCAAACGGTATCGAGGATCCTGGCAACAGAAAAATTTGTATACAAAAACTCTTTACATAAATAAATTCTAACTGTCTGTCTGCTTTTCCATCCTTAATTTCGAGAATGATGTTTGATAGAAAATATTCGAAACGAAATAAGAAAAGTGTAGAGCATCTGATTTACTATAGGTACAAACCGAAGGTCAAGCGAATTTAATACGAAAATTATCTCCAGAACGAAATTACATAGATAAACGGCATGACTCTATTGTTATCAGGAAAACAATGATGTACAGGGGCAAGGAATTACTGATTTATGACTAAGAGCATTCATTTTAAATTTATAAATTGAAAATGTAAAAAACTGCATCCCAGCATTGTAAAGACGTCACAATAGATTTTGTGTTTTTTTTTATATTTGTGTTATATATTTCGCGTACACACATTCTTATTAGCAGTAAAAAAAAAGAAAAAAAGTTTATAGTTTTCTAATTTAAAACATTTATTTTCTATCTGAAATTAGTAGTGTGTTGCTCCTGAAAAACGTACCTTTTCTGATAACAACAGAGCAATGCCAGCCATCTATATAACTGTTCAGCAAAACGTTTTGAATTAAAATCACCTGACTTCCATACACTACAGAAAGTTAAAATTTATAGACGTTTGTTAATCGGGGTGACCTGATTATGCACCTCTCTTCTCCAGATTAAGAATGAACAGACAGACAGTCAGATAGATGAGAGTGGAAGCTTATAGGTTTTTTACATCTTTTTGGATTACAGAAAAATTACAATTTTTAAATTTATGGACTATTCTTCACTGTGATAAAGGGAAAAATGTATAATAAATTATAAAAGTGTATATCATATACTATTTTGAATGTCCACATTTATTTAATTTCTAATCGTATAATACAAAAATTTATACTCAACCTTTACTTACTAATACAAGAAACTTGTTTTGATTTAAAATACAGTTATTATACGAAAATAAATGTAAGAAATTCATCTATATGATCATGTAAGCAAAATATCTCGGAAGAAAATGTTATACACTAAAAGCATTTGAATGGCTTTGTGTGGCAGGGACCCCCACCTTTTTCAGGAAAAATCAGCAGTCGATCCATTATGAATAAACCGATGACTTAATTTCGTAAACAAAACTGGGGCCGCGAGAAACGGGGTGCGATACGATTTAAATGTCACATTCCCGGTCGTAGGTCGCGAGAGAGGGCAGGAAAGCGACAACCTGGTAAGTTTTGGCGGTCACCTAACCTAGTCCAAAGCAGTAAATGCGAAGGCGTCCTCGAAGGGACGGCAGCCAGAGGCGAATCTAGGTTTTTCGGGGCCTAGAGCTTATTAAAGTCCAATAGGGCCCCAGTTTTCATGTTACATTAAAAATCTTTAAATTGGATTTTAAAATTCATTTATGTATCATTATTATTATATTATTAATATTAACTATACGATAAGTACTCATTGTTAATGAAAAAGTATTAAATATTTTTTATAATAATTGAATTTTTGTGAGTCCTTGACAACTGCGGGCCCATGGTTTAAGCCCTATTAGTCCTTATGTAGATCTGCCCCCGACAGCTGCTGTCCCAGCCGCCGACCCCGTTCGAGGAAGGTCTGGCTGAGCGGCAAGGCCGTGGGGCTGAAAGTAAACGTGAATTTTTGCATACACCAGTAACTTATAAAGCTAAACGTATACTAAATAGAGTAAAGTTTAAGGCTAAATATTAAACTACAGCTTAAAACTAGTACTATGTAAAGAGTACAGTCGGGTAGCCAGACTAAAGTTACATATTTTCTGTGCTATTGTTTACAACTATATCAAAAAATAAAACGTTGAAACATCTCGGGAATAGCTTTTACACGCAAGAGAAAACTTTATACACGACCTTATACACGACTTTATACTTATAAAACTTATACACGACTTTATACACATATATACGAGAATAGAAAAAACACTAGAACTTACCAATTTTAGGTATAAGAACTTGAAATGCGAGTTTCCACCCAAGAAGAGAATAATAAAATTCGGTGTCTTTAAAACCAATAAGAATTTGCTTTCTTTTAACCAAAAATTTATACACAATATATATTACAGAAATAATAGCTAGTGTCTTCCACTTGTAATAACTGGCAAGAATTTCGGTAAAAGCTCCCATAATTATTCGAACGCTCTCTTAATACTATACAAATTAATTTTATTCAAATTTGTAGTTTGGATTCATTACTCGAAAATGCCTAAACGACTGGGAAAGTACTTAATGATAACAGCCGAACACGGTTCTTTCTTTATATATATAATGCCCTCAACGTATACACGAAATGACGTATATCAGTACACGTACTTTTTCTTTTATGTCACAGTTTTTATTTAACAGATAGAAAATACAAAATTCTTTGCAATATTAAACTATTTGAATACAAATAATAAATTACAGTAATATATTTATATACAATTTAAAATAACAAAATAATAAAATTCATAATAATCGTTGGTTAAAGGTTGAATACGTTCTTTACGGTTAATAAATAATTTTCAGTTATAATAAGCTCTTTTTGCGCAAGTATAACATAAAAGCAATTATTCTCACTGTTCCAGAAGGTTGTTTTTATTTAAACAAGTCATACGAAGTCTTTCGAACCTTAAGGTTAGCAACTTCAATGACGTGCACAGCCATCACAACCTGTCTGACACGGATAACTTTTCAAATATTAATAGTAAACCAGTACATGTTAGTAGTTGTTTACCATCCTCTCTTCCAGGAGGATATCGATGAATACTTTTAGTCGATTTACTTCCATTCACTTTCGCAAGGGTCTCTTCTCTCTATTGGACCAAGGAATGGTGGCATTGGAATTGAAAAATCTAAAATACAAGGTTACCAGCCAGCAGAAAATATGATTTAAATGGTTTTCAAGGATGCCAAGTTTAAATATTTTGCCCGTTTTTCGCGAAATTTTATCTGTTGTCAGATGACCATTTAATTACTGGGCTGTGAATGGAACAGTTTCCCAGAAGTAACATTTTTCGACGTAGAGAAAAAACTGTATTTGAAAAAATTTAAGATACCACATTTTCAATTTTACTTGACCAATGAAACTGTGCGACATTGCTCATTGTTCCAAAACTTCTTCATGCTTGACAAAGGCCAACTTTACTTTCCTTTATAACAATTGCGTGATTTTAAGTTACGTCAAGTGATCTTTAGTGTAAAATGCAAGAAATATACTCAGTATTATTAATAAAAAAAACTTCAAAATTGAAAATATTAAACAAACTGAATTTTCAATCATATTTCATAGAAACTGTAAAAGTTTGCATTTGTTATTTGTATTTCCGGAAGAGCCTTTCTTCATGGGTGTTATAAATAATAGAAAGAACGTATTGCAATTAGTAGAGAAATGACTCGACTCGCGATTTTTACGTACACAATCAGGTGACAATCGATTTACACAGTGTGAAGTTGAATAATTCCTGTGGTTTCTGTCGAAATATTTTTAAAATTTAATAGACAAGTTTGTCTATTTTCCAAAACACAAACTAACAATTTATAAATACAGAATAAACGCAAGACATATATGAAATTTTTTGCATTTTATGTGTTCGAGTCCTAATGTATAAAAAATGATGAGGGGTCACTTTTTACCGATTGTAATGTTATACGTAACAGCCAGGAAAGTAAAAATTCTAATGCTCGACCTCCGTTATTTTTAAATATGATACGTTTTGTATTTACAGATGTTTACTTGCTAAAATATGTATGAGGAAATTCAATACATTGAATAACAAAATACTATAGATTTAATTTAGTTTATTAGCAATCATTTTTATTTATAATAAACATTAAAGATTGTATATAATATTTTGTCATTATATTATTTAAAATAAATGTAAATATTTTACATTAGTATTTTACGTAATACTAAAATAACGAGTAAATTTCCTAAACAACGTATAACAATTTTACTAATGAAAACAGAGAAATAGACTTAAATTGTTAGATAAATTGTACATTTTTATAACATAAATTTAATAAATTTATTTTTATATGAATATAAAGAAATGTGAAGACAGAAATTACACAGATTTTCATTATTTTACATTTTTATAGTCTATTCAAGCGTAAATAACAATTTTTTCATGTCACTGCCAAGGACAATTATTAGCTGACGTAAAAGCTAGATTTTTGTCTTAAGACAAGTACATTACGTAAATTTTAATTATATTATATTAGTAATTACTGTTGCATTAAATGTATGCAATCTATGCTGTTGCAACAAGTGTTTTATTATATTAAATTATTATACAGCAACATCCTGTTTATGGCTTTCTAATTTATAATATTTGTGGCTTCATTTTGAGTATCTGACTCAGAACGATTGCAAATACATTAGAAATTCAATTTCTATTCTGTGTAACGAAAATTTCAGATTATTACGTATAGTAATTACTTTTGGTACAGAATTAACACTGATAATTAATTAGTAACTATTAAATATGGAGGTTGGCAGTTGGCTATGAAAGGAAAGGTCACACTTCTGTGAGCTGCTGGTTTTTTTTACCGTTTTGGTAGTCCAAAATTGTTTTTTAAGCTATTTTTATCTATAGTTTGTTCATTGTATTATTCTCAGCATTTTAGTATTTATTAAACAAAAATTAAACATTTTCAATTCTTTTAATCAATGTACCATTTTTACCCTTTTCCACCAAAATAAATCTAGAACCATGGCAAAACTTTTTGTCTACAAGGGAGACAAAACTATTTCAGTCCATCTACCACATATTAATCATAATTATCTATGAAAAAGTTATTATGTTATAACCGAAATTTTAGATTTCTGATAAGTATATTTAAAGAAATTACATGTATGTGCTTTGTTTAAAATAAATGCAGAAGAGCTTTTTCAAAATGGTTAATAAGGTAATTCATCTAAAAGATTGAAAAACACAGTTCAAAAACCGTAATCACATGATACACAACGGGCTATATGACTATAATGGTTTCATGATGTGGCCTCGCTAACTAATTTAACCGCATTTAAACTGATGTAATTATATTAACAAAAGAGATTTTATGCCGCATCTTTTACGTTACACGCCCGAATTAGAAATGCAAATTGGAGAAACCATACCCATAGTAAACATCAGCATGATAAAGGAATTATGCACTACCACGTGCATTTTTTGTCAAGCAGAAATCAAGTGAAGTCACTGTAATGTGAACATTGAGCAAACGAAATCTGGACACCGTGCTTATCATAACAGTAATATAACACGTCTTGTACCATAAATTAATTTGAATTATTTTCGAATGTTTACTTTGAAACAATGTTCTTTTGTATACTTGTATATTTTATATGGATTTTATTAACAATTTAACATTTGCATTCGGCTGTAACTTTTATTGCTTTCGATTATTAATTTACATACAAACAAATAAAACACTTAAGTGTCAATTGCTGAAACTCTAATTTATCACAATTTATAAACGTGTTGTTCAGAAAGGTATGTTATAATAAATGAACTAATGAACACAAGCAACTTCTCTTACAAATACAGACTTATTACATAAGTTATTACCTATGTTTTCAAATGTGATAAAATATTAATTAACAATATCGAAAGGCCTCATTCTGCAGTTTTCCTTTCAAGTTTTTTTTTTATCTTGTTTACTAGAATTTCTGTAAGAAATACTACAGAAGAGATCAAATATCCTGTAACTAATAAATAGAGTAGACCCATAATATCATCCATTTCCAGAGGTTCTTCATTACTAGTATCAATTGTATGATCATTGTAGAAGAGGTCGCTTCTTGTTTTTTCATCACGCATATCTCTATGGATTTTTTCAGATAATCCACTTTGTTCAATACGATTTACCCTGTTAAATATAAATATATACTATGAAAGTTCTGTACATGTTGAGAAAGTTACTAGACTTATATATTAGAGCGATATTAGTTAAATTATTCAAAATCTACCTTAATCTAGATGTCCGACACTTGAACAATCGCCAATAAAAACTGAGAATATCAAATATAAATTTTGAATTTCGTTTATTTCATACTATAGTGTAATTTAATGATTATATAATTTTATTTCAGTATAAAAATAAAAACGGTTTTTTAGTTCCTACTTACGCAAAAATAAATTCTTATGTTAGCGAATAGATGTGAAACTGTGTGGTGTTTTGATCTATTACATATGTTAGGGTCAAAGAGCAAACACGTTTATTGAGCGAAAAAAACGAACCACAAAGCGTTTTGGCTAATTCATAAAACCGCGTAGCTTATATGAAATTTGATCACTGCGCATTATGGTAATTATTAAGGAAGACCGTAAGGCGTTCATGTTTAGTTTCAAGAATATGCTCACGTTATCTCTGGGGAAAGCAACTTGAATGAGGGATTTCCTTCAAACGTTACTTGTAAGCTATGGTTAAGAAAAAACAGAATCATTGCTGGAGAAGAGCTTAAATCCGGACTAGAGAAACAGGCATATAAAATGATTTTACTATCTAACTCAAAATTTTCTTCGGTTAAAATTGGTTCGAATGTTTTAGTTATGGTGCCTGATGTTAATAGGGGACATGCATCTCTCAGAAATGTTTTAACTGTTGTTACGAGCATCAATTCATCAGGTCTACGTCCGTTAGGAAACAGAAAAAGTCTTCTTGATCGACATTATAGTTCTAACGAATTTACAATTTCTGAGAATATCTTTATTAACATTCAGGATGTATCCTTAACTTCATTAACACTTCACTCAGAATCTTTGTTAATATCTGCAAGTAAGCAAAAGTTTATAATGTGTCACTGTAAAAGATACTGTATTGATAAAAAATACAAATGTCGCGCAAAAAACATATAATGCAACTCGAAATGCCACGGTAATAGTTTTTGTATAAATAAATAACTTTTCAACATTCTTGATTCTCCTAAAAACATTGATTTATTAATAAATCTAATTTAATAATTTAAATAATAATTTTAAAAAAACCATAAATTTGAATAAAGTAAAAGTTTAATATCCTTGTGTTTTCCTCTATAGTTTTATATAAGCTCTAATATTTTTATGTACGTTTTTATGTATGTATGTTACCCTATATAAGAGACTTACACATCTGCGGAGTTTGTAATATGTGGAACGTTATGGTATCAGTCTTTTATATATACCGAGTAAACATGCAGTTTATTTGGATTATTGATATAAATATTTCATAATTGCATGGTCGAGCAGTAAGTGAGCTCATGTTTCTGGGATGAGTTTTGCGGCATGGTGTTTGAGTCTAAAAAAATTCTCACGTTAGATTTTGATTATTTTCATGTGAAAATGCTCAGGAGAATTCTAGAATGTGTATAAATTATTTTTTGAGAATATAATTAAATTTCAGATTACATATAATCATAAAACGTTTAATAAGAAACGGGTATTTTGACATTTTCGTGTACTCTTTTGTGGATTATAAACACAGTCATTTGCTTGTTATTTTTCAAAGTTTGGCGAATTTCCGTTGAACTATACAAATGTTATTCCAGTTTAAGTATATTTTTTTGAAGTCGGATTATTATTGTGATTTATATTATTTATAATAAATTGTGAATAATAAGAAGCGCAATCTTCATACTTACGTTTTAGCTACATTAACAGCATAATTTACTTTGGCTAAATTCATTTGTATAAACTGGAATTTCGTAAAAAGTATATCTTCTGAGATGAAGACGTTCTCTTTTTCCCTTTCGTTCATGCTTAATTTAATTTTCTGTCTTGATGCTAGCACGGCGTGAGTTCCATTAAGTACCTTTTGAATTGGTTCTTCACCCGGCTCGTTACACTTTTGAACATTTTCAAAAAAGATTTCGATCACATCATTTTTAATTATCATTCTTTTGATTATCGACTATAAATAAATGAAGGCATTTAATGTAAATTAAAGTATACTTACAGCTAAAATATTTTTATAGAAAAAGTAACTTACGATCGTAACATTATAATGTTTTAAAATGTATGTACAAGCATATTTAGTTATAATTGTTTTCAAGATATTATAATCATTTCAAATGTAAATTAAGTGTATTGGGTGATGAAAAAATAATGTTCCTGTAGGTGTAGATTCAGCAAGTGTATTTATGTCATCGACTTGGATAAATAATAAAATTAATACAATAATTATATGTTTCAAATTAAAGAAATACAGCTTTATATATGGTTGGCCTTTTATCTTCGATGTATATTGACATAATGCAGAAATATCTGAATAATTTCTTTAAATAATAATACACAAGATATAAGATTTACACTCATGATCTTAATGCTATATATGTTACTGCTAAAGCTCGAAAGCAGTTAATGTGTACATTACCTAGCTAATTTACAGATTAACTAGGGTGATCCGTTATAGTTGCGAAAATTGTTCCATTTATCAAATTACCTAGGTAATGTGCAGATTACCTAGATACTCTACACATTACCTATTAGGCATTCAGTAAAATGAAAATATGATCTTTTTTGGAACAACAACAACAACAACAACGTTTCTGTACGCTTAAATTAACATAATGCTGTTTATTTAATTGTCGATATCTAAAGAATCAAGTTAATTAATACAATCAAACAATCAACAAATTAGTTGTAGAATCAATCATCAATCAATTAAAAAACTGTAATACAAAAAGTCAAACGGTTTAAAATATTATTACAATTAGGGAAATGGGAGATTATATAGATAACCACCTATGAAATTTCGGAACTTTGATTATATATCTGAACTGAGGGGACCAAGGCGAGTTTAACGATATACTTTACTTTTGGACAGAAGATGAAAAATAAAAATGTTATCATAGTTTTTCCGGCGATTGCATTATAAAATTGTGCGTTAACGTTACCTATGGTGACTAAAATGGCGGCGTATCTCTGATTCCAGCAAACTGAAGAAAGGAAACAGTGGGAACGCATGTTCTAACCTAACCTAACCTATTCTGATAAATTACCATAATTATTTCCAACCAAATTATTAGAATTAGTTAGGTTATGTTAGAACGTGCATTCCCACTGTTTTTTTTTTCTTCCGTTTGCTGGAATCAGAGACAAGCCGCCATTTTAGTCACCATATGTGACATTAATCAATTATGCTTACTTATTAGTGTAGTCTAAAGAGAGGTGACACTTTGAATTACTTGGCAATTGATTTTTGTGACAAGCACACCTATTTGTGGTACATTTATATCTGGCAAAGATCTTATTTTCACTTTACCGAGTGCGTAGTAGGTAATGTGCGAATTACCTNTTCAAGAATATGCTCACGTTATCTCTGGGGAAAGCAACTTGAATGAGGGATTTCCTTCAAACGTTACTTGTAAGCTATGGTTAAGAAAAAACAGAATCATTGCTGGAGAAGAGGTTAAATCCGGACTAGAGAAACAGGCATATAAAATGATTTTACTATCTAACTCAAAATTTTCTTCGGTTAAAATTGGTTCGAATGTTTTAGTTATGGTGCCTGATGTTAATAGGGGACATGCATCTCTCAGAAATGTTTTAACTGTTGTTACGAGCATCAATTCATCAGGTCTACGTCCGTTAGGAAACAGAAAAAGTCTTCTTGATCGACATTATAGTTCTAACGAATTTACAATTTCTGAGAATATCTTCATTAACATTCAGGATGTATCCTTAACTTCATTAACACTTCACTCAGAATCTTTGTTAATATCTGCAAGTAAGCAAAAGTTTATAATGTGTCACTGTAAAAGATACTGTATTGATAAAAAATACAAATGTCGCGCAAAAAACATATAATGCAACTCGAAATGCCACGGTAATAGTTCTTGTATAAATAAATAACTTTTCAACATTCTTGATTCTCCTAAAAACATTGATTTATTAATAAATCTAATTTAATAATTTAAATAATAATTTTAAAAAAACCATAAATTTGAATAAAGTAAAAGTTTAATATCCTTGTGTTTTCCTCTATAGTTTTATATAAGCTCTAATATTTTTATGTACGTTTTTATGTATGTATGTTACCCTATATAAGAGACTTACACATCTGCGGAGTTTGTAATATGTGGAACGTTATGGTATCAGTCTTTTATATATACCGAGTAAACATGCAGTTTATTTGGATTATTGATATAAATATTTCATAATTGCATGGTCGAGCAGTAAGTGAGCTCATGTTTCTGGGATGAGTTTTGCGGCATGGTGTTTGAGTCTAAAAAAATTCTCACGTTAGATTTTGATTATTTTCATGTGAAAATGCTCAGGAGAATTCTAGAATGTGTATAAATTATTTTTTGAGAATATAATTAAATTTCAGATTACATATAATCATAAAACGTTTAATAAGAAACGGGTATTTTGACATTTTCGTGTACTCTTTTGTGGATTATAAACACAGTCATTTGCTTGTTATTTTTCAAAGTTTTAAAATTATAATTTAATTAAGTACTAAATTGTAAACCTTTTTGCAGTAATTGAAAAAATTAAAATTTCTGGTTTCTTTATTACATATTACGTTAAAAATGCGTTTAATTTGACACGCGATGCGTCATAGCCCAGCAGTTGCTAACTAGATAAAACCACTGAAATGCTGTAGTAGTGGTTCGAGATTGTGCTTCCACCATGTACTGGTTGCGTGGGATTCTTGGTTTTCTTCTAATATCTAACATGTTAACAATGGGGATTTCTCTATTTATATGTTAATTAAACATAGCATAAATATCTGCCCTGGAGGCAAATAGTTCTTGACGTGTTGCATCGCATTATAATATGAGTAAGTCAATCTGTTATGTTATAAATTATTTAATGATTTTTTATATTTAAATTTCGATTTGCATAGCAAAAAATATGTTCTTTACTATATAGATAAAAAATTAGCATTTTTGAAACATTACCATGACATCGAAGGGTTTTACCAGAACAAGGGCTTTATCTAAAGGTCTTGCAGCACGTATTGCAAATGTAGTTGGAATGTGAGTTACAGAAGAAGAATAAGTCAAATAAGTTTTTCTGATATTTCCACTATGGATGGCGATGTCTGCCTAATAAATTAAAATTAAATTATTAAAATACTGAATAAAACTGCACAATTGTTAGATATTCATCTACTACCTTTTGTATGATAATTGTGGCTCTTAACCTAAAACAAAACAATTACTATAAAATTGACACATTTAATATGATTTACGTATACTGTATTGAAAAAAACTTACTTAGTATGAAGACCATCTGCTAATAAGTCAATATATCTTTCAATGAATGTTTTCTTTTTCTTCTCCACAATTCCCAAAAGAAAATCACTGTCCTCATCATCCTAAAGGAAAGTTATGAGTAATATATGATTTTTAATATTATTTTTCGTAATTTAATATATTACATTTCACTATAAATGTACAATAGTTTAACGCAGAGAAACAGTTGAAACTGTGGTACCAAACCGTTAACAGAATAGGCTTTGTTAGTTGTATGTGTGAAATTACTTCGCAATTATAATATTAATTTCTCTTTATGTGTATTGATGAATTGATTAATATACTTTATTACTGTTGAAAAATAAGCCAGCTGCTACTAATTGTATTGTAAAACAAACATTAAAAAAAGAAAATCTATTAATATTAAAGTAATTATTATAATAACAAGGTTTTTACTGGCCTTTAAACAAACAAATGTTCGTATCAAATTTAAGTTAAAGTGTGATATGTTTAGTTATTCGTGATGTCAAATCAAATAATATTAAATAAAAAGTAAATAAGAAACATTTTTTTCAACACACAAGTACAGGGTCATTATAATTGAAGTTCAACTTTGAAATTGCCATAAAAGAAAAACTACTGGACAGAATATTCTCAAACTTAGTAATTGTTAAAATTTAGTCATGGGATTTTATTTTCTGCAATAAAAAAATAGTTTAAAAACTCACTACTAGTGAAGAATGGTGTTGTATGCTATGCTATACTGTTAAACGAAATAAGACACAAAGACATCGGTTGAAAATTTTTTAATCGTTTCTAAAACGGGTTACAAAGTATGTTCAATGTGACGTCCACCATTCCCTGAAATCAAGTAAAATCGCATTACTTTGTTCTCATCAGTAACTCTTAGTATATCAGTAGGAATTTAACTAGCGATTCCCCACTGATAGTGAGTTTTTGAACTATTTTTTATTGCAGAAAATAATATCTCACGACTTCCCGTAAACTGTCACCAACTTTGATAATATTCTGTCCAGTAGTTTTTCTTTACGGCCATTTCAAAGTGGAACTTTAATTATAATGACCGTGTATTTTGTCAGTAGCAGAAGAAAAAAATGTAGAATTAAAAAGTCCAGTAGCAAATTTTTCGATGTGGCGACAGTAGTTTTTGGCCAAAATTTTACAGATAATAAAGGAATCTATTTACCTGTGAGTTTGTTGTTGTATATCTCGTTATTATGTATAGAATAATTTCTACAATTTTACTTAAATGTAATGATAATAAAACTGTGAGAAGAAAAAACATTCAATTCTTAAAAAATATTTGAAATACCCTCGAACATATTGTGAAATGGCATACCTGATTTTGTCCTAATTTAAGAAAAGTTTTAGCCTACTTTTCCATTCTGACGTTAAGAAGGATTGAATGACGTTATTCTGACGTCATTCAATCCATTTTTCTGTGCATTGTTTAAGAAAACAATGAACAGAAAAATGGATTGAATGACGCTTTTCCCGTTTACAACCTTTAAAGAATTATAACAATCGTGTTAAATTATATGTAAACAAACTTTATTGGCTAACCCAATAAACATTAAAGCAATACATCAACCAAAGCCGAATTATTGGGCTAGAAACGGCTATAATAATAACAATTTACACGATAATTTCATATTACAGTTATACGTTAGGCGCCATCTCTTGCTAAATTTAATAATTATAATTTAATTAAATAATTTAAATAATTTAGAACTAGGTAAAAGAAAATGAGCGGTTTATGTGTCCCAAGCCGGCATTGTAATGGCCGTCGATGGTCGTAACGTAAGCTTATATATACTGAATGACGGGATCAGACTAACGGTCTCACTAGCATAATTGGCAACGCATCTGCGGGTTCGAGTTCCGGTCTGGGCCAGTTCTTTCTCTTCCAGCTAGTTGTAAATTATTTAATTAAATTAAAAATATTAAATTTAGCAAGAGATGGTGCCCAACGTCTAACTCTAATATCGAAATTATCTTATTATTATTATTATAGCCGTTTCTAGCCCGATAATTTAGCTTCGGTTGATGTATTGTTAAATCATAGCAACCTATTGTTAGAAGAGAGGAAAATCAATCTTCGAACAAGTAAACGATAGGAATCTTACAGGTCTCGAACCAAATATGGTATTGTTAGCTCCATTTAAACCACCGTTTAACATCATCGACGGAAACCTCTTATCTCACACCTGCAACTTTGTCTCCAAACATCTGATCATCTGATGGATTTCCCAGGGCTAGAGCAAATAACAAATGAGAACTTAGGTCTCATTTTGGACATCCCTGAGGCAATACAGAAAGGACATTTTCAGACTCGCCATACAGAGCAAAATCCACCATAGAAGGTGGACTCCAGCAAACATATCCTAAGATGCAATATCAAGGTGGACATTCCTGAGAAATAAAAGTTCTACTCCTCAGATCCCTGACGGCCTATAAAAGGACAAAGATACACTATCGTCTTCATGACTGCGTATGAATAGGATCCACAGAAACCAATTCATCACTCAGAGTTTTTGTACTTGAATTTGTACTCCCATATGTAAACTCTCTCTTTTGGCTACCTAGATTTAGAAGTCATTAGATATCGATGTAGTAAAAAATTATATATTATCTACTACATTCATCGAAAAACATATTAGAAACGCAGAACGGAATTCAGTTCGAAAAACATGAAGTACTAGAGAAAAAATTTATAAATAAATTCTTAAAAATTGGAATAAAATAGGAAAATTTCAAATTATCTCTCTGATAATTTTGTTAAAAAGTATATAAGTTACGTAAATTATACATGAAAATAGTTTCAAAATATTAACGATTAAAACACAACACTACCGGAGCCAGAAGATTATCTACATTGAAATTTAGTTTCTCTTTATTAAATACTAAACGAAGATTTCATTCATGATTTAAAAAATCATCTTTTTTTCTTATGTTTTGAAATACCAAAACTAGATAAGAAATATATTGCTGATAATTTACATAGTTTATTAGTCTATATACTTCATGATATTTGTTAATTTATCAATAACACGATAGAAAAATTACATATGAAATTACATTAAAATTTAAAAAATTACATTAAAAATTTAATTAAGAAAAATAAAATTAATTTTCTTTGTTTTGAAAATAAAATATAATCCAAACTGTATCAGAGCTTTACGTTAAATTATTATACAAATTAAAATATACAACCCAAAGTGTATCTTACCATACTATCTCTGTACATTACACAGTGAAAGAAGCAAAAAAAATATCAAGACAAAGTGGCTGAAGTCGATTATTCATCACTCTGCCACTTCGCGCAATCTGGTATTGAGTTCAAGCAAGAAGCGCATGAATTTTTCATACGCATCTTCTCCTGAATTTTCTGGAGACTATCGCATAATATTTGGCTGCTGTGAATGTGTCGTTTGCCAAATCAATAACAGCCACGAAAGAAAAGATATTTATTCAATGCCCACAATTAAAAACAGGGCCAAAATTTGTAAGGAATAAAAGAAAAACTATATAAATTAATTTAGTCAGATGTTTTTCCTTCAAACTTGCAACAAAATTAACTAAAGTACCATTACAAAATAGCTAAAAATTTGTGGATGCTAGCTAGTAATGTAAGAAAATCGAAATTTAACATCTAAAAAAATAAATTAGAAATATTAAATTTTTTGAACAAAGGTTAAGGTGCTTACAATATTATTTAAAATATTTTATACAGTAGATTAAGATTCAAATACTTGCAAACTAAATTACATTGAATTGTAAACGTACATACTTATTTATACTGCATTTCAACTAGTAAATCATCGTACAGAGACAATTATACGTTATTTTAAATTGTCAACAAAAGAACAATTAATACTTGTACCTATTTATACTTACGAATTCTACACCAACTTTCATTCTCTCTGGTATGAACGACTTTTTTTCGGTTATTTTTGTTCTATTGTACGTTTTACAATAAGTCATTTTATAATCTTTGCACTGAAACATTTAATAATTATAACAATTTAAGCATACAAATAATTAAACCTGTTAATAATATACAATTACAACAATAATAACAACAACTAAGAGTAATAATATTGTATATCATGCAATTCAGAAAAGTGAGTTCAACTTTTTATAACACAAGTTACTATTGATTAAAACCGTAATTTGGCATACAAAAAGTTGGTTAGAAGTATTTATATTTTATGCACGAACTTGAAATCCCTTACAATATCATGTACATATAGTTGCAAACTAAATTACACGGAATTTTAAACATAAATGCTTATTAGCCTACAGCTATAAAAATTTCATACTTGAATCTGAGTGATCAAAAAGTTTTACAAAATATTTAGATTATGACGTGTTTCAGCTATATCGAGCGCTTTCAACAATCCATTTGTTTTTATTGTGGGTTTTGCTGAATTCACAATGACTATAAAAAGACTTTATTTCATATCCGAAGTATTGAAAAAATTTACATTTACACGTATGGCCATAGTTAAAATTTTCCTAATTAGAGCACGTTATAACTATAACTAATAACAGGATTTACACCAAGATTTATATAGGAACTGTGCAAAAAATGCAGAAAGAATTTTGCAAAGAAAAAACAACTTTACATTATTCTATTTGAGTGCAATTCATATAACAATGTACGATCGTATATTTTATTTAAACACTACAAAAATTCACTTATTTTCTCCATAACGGGTAATCCTTTTAAAAAAGGTGATTACTAATAAATACAGTATTTCTTAATTTGTAACTTACTGCTATAGTCTAACATTTCATAAAGATAGTCTCTGAGTATACTTTTGAGTACAATTAGTCTTTCAGGATGATTTATGTATGCAGTGTAACACAATCCTTCAAGTATAGGCTTACAAAAGTTGTAAAATTTCCAATCAATACACAGAAAGTGTCCCTTGGATATGATATTAAATTAATTTTTTCTTTTGCAAATTTTTTCCTCATTTATTGAATAATCAGTACAGGAATTTCAGTTACAATTTGATTACTAGTTACAACTAAATAGGAAAACTTTAAACATAGTGACTCTGTATAATGTAGCATGAATAAAATGAGGCAAAGCAATGAGACAGTTTTTATAGCATATCGTACATGCATTAAACGTAATAGTATAAAAACTAAAAGAATGGCCAAGTTTCTAAAGAACAAAAGTATGTTCACTGTAATTGTTTAGAGGTAAGCACCTTCGACTGTGCATTCAGTTTCAAGTTTCTAAGAATAGCAGCTAAACATTTACTACAATATAAATTTATTTTCCTATACAATAAAAATTTAAAAATACAAGGTACATTGATGAGAATGTTCAGATCAAAGATGAACTATATTGACACAGAAACACAGAAAATGATAGGAGAAAACAGTTTAAAGATTTAATAAACAGCAAAGTGATATCTTTAACTGGAATAACAAACACTTAAAGCATAATAAAGTTTGCCAAATTGAAAGACTCATTCATGCAAAGTGGAAGTAATGACATATATTTAATGAAATAATCGCTGCCAGATAAATTACTAACTTACAATAATCGTAAAAAAGTCACACAAGTTAATTACTTACAATTTTAACATAACTCTTTTCTACTTCTATGAAAGAAGAATTTTTAACACTTTCAGTAAATGCAAAACGCTGATGGCCAGAATTATAAAAAAAAGTCACTTCATTTGTACGATGCTCTTTCACAACATGTACAATATAGTCTTTCTGGATGAATTTGCTTGAAATAGATTCTAAAAAGACACAAATTATATTTATTTGCAACATTGCTTTAGTTCAGAATATATATCTATTTGTATATTAAAAAAATCTTGTTTGTTTGTCTTTTATACAAATCTTTATGTATAAATTAATCTGATTAAACTTTGTATGAATATCTTTCAGAGTACGGATCGACACTAAACTATATACTGCCCAAATATACTATATACTATTTCTTCGGTAGTATCTGTTATTATGAAACACTTAACGAACAGGAATAGGTCACCACATTTTAATTTTCTTTTTAAATGCGTAATTACTGTAATTTATTGCATTTTACATTAATTACAATGAGTTTCCCATCACCATATTCATTGCACATAACCAGAAGACTGATTAAATTATAAAGATAAAAAATTACAGATATATAAAGCAAGAGATATTTAAATGAATAATGTTAAAACTTTTATGTATTCTTTTGAAAAATGTATTGCTTACTGTTTCTGTAACACATGCAATACAGTAATACCCCGAACTTACGCGATAGGTGGGACCGAGCGATACTCGCGTAAGTCGGGGTATTGCTGTATTAACTATCACATTGTGTAGTTCTTCAACATTTTCGTCAAGCGTAATCTCTGAAATAATGTAGCGAATGTAGTCTCTATTTTGTCTAATACAGTAGAGCGTCGTTTATCCGAAAGCATTCCAGTAGGCAAATTTAAATTTTCGCTAGTGCTGTGGCGCTGCAATCTTTGGTTATATCTTGGGCTATTCCAATATTTTTTTGTTTGTGTGTGTTTTTTAGCTGGCAGCACTGGCACTTTTGTGTAGTGTTTTTCTGAGGACTGTGTTGTGCTGAATCGAACGTTTCTGATACTAGATCATTTTCTAAATTATATATTTTTTTGTTTTTATATTTTTCAATATATTTATTTTCTTTGTAAGAAATAAAGAAATAATTTTTAACGATACAATAGCGACGATTATTATTTTAAAAAGTATACGTTAGGCTTAATATCGATGAAATTCACCGCGAAGCGACACTTAACGGAAAAAAATTTTAACACAGGATAAATTAATATATCTTTTCGTACATAATCGGTTATCCGAAAAATAAGTTATCCGAACAACCTCAGTCCCCAATTGATTCGGATAAACGACGCTCTACTGTATAAGTTATATTCATTAATATTTTTTAAAAATTTTTTTAGCCTTGTAAGAAAAAAAGGCCTTTTTTCGGCCAGGCATAACATCTTGAAGGCAGGGTGATGAGAGATGAATCTTAACATATTCGGATTAATCAACTAAAGATTTCTTTAGATTTTTCATCGGTTCTGATTGAAAAAGTAACATATCAAGAACTTATATATAAGTTCTAATTTAAATGATAAAGACACGTTGCATAAGTGCACACACGTACTTAGCTTTATTTTCTTTATATTACTATTTTTAATAGAAAAACCTGATTTTATTTTTCCTGATATTATTTAGTAAGAAAAATGTAGAAAATTACTTACTATCGAAGAAATGTTGTGGACGTAGATCAGAGCTGTATGTAATCAACACAAAACTTAGTTTCAATTGAAGTATCATGTCGAATATTCATCTATATCAAAATAAATCACAACCATAAACAATCGTGTAATTATACAAAAGATACACTGTAAAATAAATAATAATGCATACACCATGGTTTAATGCATTATTATTTATTTATTTAACTATGCACTATTATTCATTGTGTAATCCTATAAATTAAACGAAAAATTAATTTATAAAAAATGTTCATAAAAATAAATATAGTAGAGCGTCAATTATCCGAAAGAATTCCAGTCGGCAAATTTAAATTTTCGCCAGTGCTGTGGCGCTGCAATCTTTGGCTATGTCTTGGGCTACTCAAATATTTTACGTTTTTGATACTAAATTAACTTTTGAAGTATAGTTTTTTATCGTTTTTATATTTATTTTATTTGTACAAAATGAAAAAATAATTTTTAAAATTATAATAGTCTTCGTTAGGCTTAACATGGACGAAAATTCAACGCGAAGCGACACGCAACGGAGAAAAATGTCAAGATGGGATAAATTAATATATTTTTTC